GCTATGCCAAGAGAAGAGGTGAACGAGGGGAGAGGAGAACTCTTCTCCTTGTATCTGCATGGGGTTTCCCCAAGAACTTGTTCATCTCTGCTAAGGAATCGCTCATTCCTGGTTAATGACAAAGCTGCAGCCAAGATTTACTGTCCAGCCGTACAACTCTGCAACTTCTTGCTGGGATCATGTGCCTGACTATTGAGCCATATATATCTCTGTAAGAAAAATGAAAGTGGGCTTGGACCACAGCTCATCTGGCTAGAACACAGCTTGTCTGTTTGGCCACACATTTTTAATCTTGACTCTTGCATGCAGTTTATAGCACCTTGTTCATAAGAAATTGCAGTTTATTCTTAGAAATATATATTTTAGGTTTTTTAATCTTTATACCCATAAATGGACTATTTTTTTGTCTTGGCTGGTTTAAAAAGTGACCATTTTGTTTAAATGCTGTAATTGCAAATGTGTTGTAAGTGTTGTTTTGTTCTATAGTTTACACAAAGGTGCCAAAGTAAATAGTTAATAAAAATCCCCCAAACCCAAGCAAACTGTTGCATTGCTTTAGCTGTTCTTCGAATTTTGGTCTCTGCTCTTTTTTGGGGTTGGTTTTGGTTTGTTTTTTTTTTCAGCCTTTCAGTTTTTCCCAGACATATCATTTGCCCAATGCTTTTAAAAAAAAATTAAAAAAAAAGTGCATCTAAAGAAATGTTCAGATACCACTTTTTTAGTGATTTCATATAGTAGGAAGAATATTTTCTTTGAAACGTTACACTAAAATTGTAAGAGTACAGCAGCATTCAAAAATGTAATATACTTTTTGTATAACAGTTCTTCAGAGTGTGTCTGGAGTGGGGGAGAAAACTAACCCTGTTACTTTTCAGAAGCCTCTTCCCTCGGCTACCAGGATATGAAATTGTGCTTTTTCACTGCATCAAAAAGTTATAGTTTATGCAGACTTGCAAATGGGGCATGTATCACCATTGCATCCTTCGATGCAAAGAGCAGCAAAACCTTTTTTATGTTTCATAAGTCTGATATGGGTACAGAGAGTCTTTCTTAAGTTGGTAAATAATGTAAATACATGTCCTTTCAGAGAGTGAGTCTGTTATCTAGGTATTTTGTGTCATTTAATAAATATTAAAACAGTTTTGTGTTGATAAACCCCTGTGTGTAAAATGCCTTCTTACTTAAAGTTCTGTATGTTGGGCTTATTAATGTTTGTGGCTTCTTTAAATTCTTTAGCTTGTGCTTTGATAGCAAAATACTTGTTTGCTACTTAAGTATAATAATCAGTAGTTCCTCCTTTATTCAGTCATTAAAATCCCTTGAGTTTTCTAAGTGGCTTCCATTCCTGAATTTTATTTTTTTTACCAAGTCTTCTACCAGGTTAATGGGGAGGAAGGAAGTAAACATCCTACAAACTGAATGTGTAAAGTGCCAGAAATGGTGCAACACTACCAAAGCTGCTGGCTCGTTGCTAGTACAGGAGGATTCTCTCCTGCTGTATGATTTCCTTGTTTCCCAGTAAAGCTAGCAGGTTTTTTTAATGGCTGTGGCACGATTACTCTGAAGTACAGGACAGGGCTGGACAAGGAACTTGTTTCTGTTACTGGTGATGACCAACTGGGCCATTCTTAATTTTTCTTCAGCCATTTGGAACCACTGGCCTAAATCTGACCAGAATTTGTCAGGGGTATTTTCAGACTGGTCCTTCCTGGTGCAGGTGCTCTGAGGACTTTGTGGAGAGGGGTGTCAGGGTGTTCTGATCTTGCTTTCCAAGCTCTGGAGGGGTAGTTTGAGAATGGGAGAGCTATGGCAAAGTAAGAGCTGATGCTCCAAACTGATCTCTCCTGAAGGCATGTATGCTGCAGGGAGGCTGACCTTGCACAGCACTGCTGTAACCCATCGTGTGGTGGGTTTGAATCAGAACGATGAATGTCTTCCAGTAATGCTGCTCACATGTGTGCATTCTGTTAAAGTGTGGAGGCATCTAAATGCATGGGATGATTTTTCCACTAACAATTTCTTAAGAGTATTTCCTATGTTCTTCACAATCCTACAGAATTTTGTTGTTAGAAATTAATCCTACAGAAGCAGATTCCCAGAGAGCAGAAAATACTTTGTTACTGTATGAAGTCCAATATGCATTGCTGTTCTTTCTCCTGATTTTGAGAGAAACTGTTGCCAAATTAAAGGCAATAGCTTTGGATTTGCCTTGCTTAGGGGGTTGGTTTTTTTCCTTTTAAAAGGAAAGGGTTTGTAGGCATATTGTGCTATTTAGAAAACAAGCACCTGAAAACTTACTTGAGGGGTTGAGACATTGGACTTTATGTAGAGTATCTTGTAAAATACAGAGTTAATTGGGAAGAGGAGCAGTGGATGTTGATCAGCCTACAATGGAGCAAGTTTTTCTTCTGGTTAACTGCTTCCTGATACATGCTCATCTCCTGTAAGAGTCATCCTTAAAATGACTTACAGTTTGTCTTGCTGCTGCTTATGGGAAATAAGCATTAAGATAAGAATTCAAGAAGAAAAGTAACTTTGAAAGTTCATGTTCTAACATCAGTAAGACACTGCAGCTCCATAGAGAAGACCTTTTCCTTAAACTTCGGAAAAGGAGTTCACATCCAGTAAATACTAAATTTTTATTGTTACGCCTTTACACACAGCTGGCACCATAACAAGGTCTGACTGCAGGATCCTGCTGAGAATGCCAAGTCTGAGTGAAGGTTTCCAATTAGTCTTTTAATAGTTCTTCAGTCACAGCTGGAGCTGCTTGCCTCCAGAGAGGGGTCCCTACCCCAGCTCATGCTTCCCAATTATACCCGTTCCACAAATCACCCCATCCCCAAGTCCAGGCACCTAATTCTTGTCAGTGATTTCTCTTGATTTCTCAGTGGGTTTCACTGGTGGGCTGGCCGCCTCCTGAAGTTACTTCACTCTTTCAGAATTGTCCTTATCTTTTTCATTCCACTTATATCTGCAGCACACAGAGAGTTCTTTGTTAGCAGCATTAGTTTTACCAACAGTTTACACTTGGTGAGCTCTTGTAGCCGAAGGCTTCAGCTGCTTTAGTGGCTAATGCCAAGCTACTAATGCCAAACTATTCAGAGAGAATACAGTATGCAACATCAATGATAGTTCTTTAACTTACTCCTTAAAACAATCACTATCACATTGCAAACTGAGAGGGATGAGTATGCAAAGCAAATTGCATCCAAGATTACATGAAATAGATTTCTTTGTACCAGGTGGAGTGGGAAGTAGTTATAATACAGCATGAAGTATCAGTGCTGGATTATTAGTACAATGTTCACTTAGTATGTAGCTCTTTTCCCCTCCCAGACCAAACTCATATGGAATTACCACAATGCATGTTCTGTTTTACCACTGTGTAGTCTGCAAAACTTGAAGTGTATCTGAGAACAATTTGTTACTATGGTCAAAAGCAGATACCTTTCTCAAAAGCAGTCCCTTAATGGTATCAAGAAAATCCTTCAGCTGGTGCTAGGTTAAGGCTCAAAGCAAGGCTGCTCTACTAATTACGATTAAAACCTGGACAAGACACAGTGCAGACCGAGTTCTGCCACGTGTGTGCTGGGGAGGAGGTACAGCTTTCAGGCATGAGATGGGAACAGATTACAAAATAAAGCCTCTGCAGAGGTGAGCTGAAACCTTGTCACCGTGCAGGTAAAGCTTGTAGGCTGCGACCAGGGGGTAGGTCAGGCTCCATCCTCTGGAGAACTGGTTCTGCAACCAAAGGGCTGCAATCCTGCGTATCTGTCCTAGTTTCAGCTGCGATAGAGTTAATTTTCTTCCTAGTAACTAGTACAGAGCTGTATTTTGGCTTCAGTCTGAGAACACTTACTAGCAGGCTGGGGTTAATCTACAACAGTATCCCTTCAGTTTCTTTCTTGTTATTCCTACAGCACCACTGCTGCTTCATAATCCGAGCTCCAGAAGCAGACAGGCAGCCTCAAACTGGAGTGAGATCATTCCCTGGAAGAGTTTTGTTGCTCAGGACAATGAAATGAACGGGTTTGCCAGACCTGGTTTTCTATCTCTGTCAGAGCTGGAAACTGTAGACTAATTACATATATGGTTAATTACATATATGGTTATTTTATATATCATCTGCCCTGATGTGCTCTCTGTAAAAGGGAGGTAATGTTACTCTAGGTCACAGCACTGCAGTCCTGCAGTTAAAATATCCAGATATTAAAATGACTATATAAGACAGCCTCCCTTCCAGCCCTGTATTTTAGATAGAACTTCTGCTGCTGCTGAGATTTCTCAAAAACAGTTACAGCCAACACATCCTTGGTAAGAGTTGAAGTGGGAGGTGGCTCATGAGCAGAGCCATTCTCACATGACTTCTGCTCTGAAGCTGACAGATGTATCTCCAGCAAGTTAGCAATGTATGTTGATAGTCACAAAACTGACATTTTTGTACTTTGCTGTTACAAGCCCAAAGAACGTGTTGAGCTGTCAGTGAAACGATTTTTTTTCCCACGTTAAACAGATCTACATCTAGAAGTAGTTTGGCATGACTCACGAAACCCATAAATCTCATCAGCTGCCACATGGTAACCCACCTGCTGAGTGCCGTGATACACGTCGCACGCAGCAGCAGCTGGAAACGCTGCTGAGCGCAGCAACCTACCCCAACCCTGCACCTTGCAGCACGGGCTGCTGTCCCCGTGTGGGTCAGCGAAGGAGCACCGGCTGTACCAGCTCCTGCCCCGCTGCCACCTCCCCAGGCACCCAGCGTGTGATCAAACCAAACAGCACGTACGCGAGCGGTGTTTGTGTAACAGGCTTGTGACGAACTACCGCCGCCTGTGCCTGGGCTTCTTCCTGCTCGGCTGGGACTGAGTTGCTCCTGCTGTGTCGCAACACCGGCCTCCAGCGCGCTCCTGCAGGAAGCCCGCTGTGGCTGCAGCAACCCGCCCTACGCGGCCCCACCACCGCTGCTGGTTTTGGTATTTCACGTGATTGCCCCAGCCTTGACTCAGCAGTTTGCTGCGGCTGCGTTTAATGGTTTGGTTTCCTACCACCACCTCCTCCAGAAACCGGCCAGCTCAGAAACGCTGCCATCTGCTCGAGCGCAGCGAGCCGCAGCTTTCACACCCTTCAGAGAAGTCGTTCTGCAGAGCCAGCGGAGCAGAGCTGTCGGGAACCATCCCTCAGCAGCACACACAGGTCAAGTGCTGCAGGCGTCACACTGTGCTGGGCAAAGCAGGGGCTTCGTTACGGTGTGCAAATCCCCAGGTTACAAACGGTCTGCATGAGAAGGTGCATAGCTGTAACTCTCACAGCTGCTGGCACGATCCCAAGAAGGTCCCTGTGGTTCATCCTTCCCTGCCAAGTGAATCTGTGACCTGTCTAACAGACGTTAATCTCTTCCTTTTTCCGGCTTTCCCATGTGAAATGGTACCAAACCCGTCCTCTGCCACCGGGAAAGGAGTAATTTGTTCTGCCATAATCTTGTCCCTGGAAAAATACAGAAAATTCCGTGTTGTTTAAAGAGACATCTAAAAGAACGAATAAAACTAATTAGACTAAAATAGTGATTACTGCATGTCCTAGCTATTTCCTCTTCCTTCTTTTTAATCACAAGCTTACTCTTCTGCACCAGCGATCAGAAATATGAAGTTACTCAGTGCTTCATTAAACAGTGGACACTTTGCTTCTGACCCACACATCCATCAATTTTTGCAAGTCCCTGGGTTAAGGAAAATTTGATTACAGATACAGTACCTAACCAACTGAAACTGCTGAAGGGCTCACAAAGGACTAAGTATATGCTGGACATCAAAAATATGATGTGAATGACAGTCACAGAACAGCTGATACATTTGAAATCAGGCACGAATTTATGTTCCTTGATGAACCAAAGCTTTAAAAAGAAATCACAAGGTTTTGCGTATTTGTTCTCAGTACATGAGAACAAATCACCTTCTTAAAATTACTGACACCAGACTAAGTATAACATGCAGCAAAAATGTAATGCCATACAGAAACATTCAGTCCTCATTTTCACAGCCAGCAATAAACATAAGGAACATCCTAGAAAAGCACGATCAGCTTGCCATCCATCAGTGGCTCCCAAAATCACACCAGAATCATTTCTCTCCAGTAAGGAAAAGGCTGAAGCATCTTCTCTGCATCATGGTAACAACCATTCACACTTTCTCCTGTCACATAAATTTTACCATTAAGACTGCCACTGTCCACAAAGAAATTACTTGCGATAAATAAGACGCAGTGTTAACACTGTTTGAGGTTGAATCCTATGAGTACTGAGTATCATAGCTTTCCATGGAATTCCAGAGGAATCAGACATCTGAACCCAACCACTAGGTGGTTTTTTTTTCTGGAGGATTTGTTAATCACAAGAGGAACAGCGTTCCATTTTGCTCCCTGCAGAGCTACAAACAGGAGAGAGTCTTTGGGACCTCCCCCCCAAAAAAAATTCCATCTAGAAAGAACAGTGCCAAAACTGAGCTTCTGACAGTTGGCTGTGCAAGAGACTATCACTGTGCTAATAATGCAAAAACATATTGTTTTTAACAGCCTTTTAACACATTCAGACCACTGCAGCATGTAGGCTTTGCAGGGCAAACTTTATCCTGCTATGTGATTGCGAGGTGCCTGTACCAGCTCCCTGCGGTGGAATTTGATCCCCTGGTCTCCCCAGGGACCCCACACAAGGCCATCTCATCACTTCCTCTGCTGTCGCTAGGGGCAGCCTTGACATACCTATACCACAGGCACATCACTGTCCCCTACGATACCGTGTGATAATGAAAATAAACCACCAGTTCAGTGTCTCTGAATTCACACAACTTCACCTTTTCATTAAGCTACTCCTATAGCAGTCTGACACTGTCTTAAAGCAGGATTAGCGTGTACGCTGTTTTTACACAGCTCCAAGGGAGGAACTGCACTTTCTTTTATCTTTACTGATACAGCAAAAAAGAAGTGAGCCGTACACCTGCGAAGATCACAGTAAGATGCTGTAACACCACAAAGTGCCCATGGAAGGCAGGGATGGAGATACCTGGAGGGCAAAGCAGTCAGATGCAAACAAAGAATTCTGTATTCTGATGTTAATGATGACCTTTCTGATGCAAAACAATGTATTTTTCGTTATGCTAAATTACATAAACTATACTGCTCTTTTAATACCACATCAGTTGCTACTTTTATTCTGTGCTCTTTCTCCTAATGTCTTTCTCTTAATAGTGAAATCCTCTTAATGCAATTGCTTCTAACTCCCCGAGAGATCACTTTTTAAAGACAGGACTTTGTACGAAAACAGTGAAGCCTGAGGAGATGTAAAAGCCCCAGCAGCAGGACTCTCCCTGGCCTCTGAAATGCCCCATTCTTCACAGTGAAGACAGACAACTTGCTGCCTTCCGAATCTGTGGTTTCATCTGTGCTGCTGTTACTGGATGCTCCCCCACAGCCTACAGCAAGTGCTGGCTCAGTTATTAAATATAAAGTTTATTTCTCCACATGCAACAATGCTCAAACAGATGCATGTATGGGTATATAATACACAAGGTAAGTTGGTTCTAGTGCAGTTATTAAGCACAAAAACAAAAGCAAAGAAGCAGTGAACGCGTCTGACCACACAAGCATTTGTGTGTGGAAGCCTCATTAGTACCATGCACTGGTTCCAGTGGTGGTCCTGACCTGCCAGGTTTGGTTTTGTGACACTCTTTGGGAAAGTACACTATTGCAAGCATACAGCTGAGAGGATTTAACTGACATTTAATCACAAATTGCATTATTTCCATTTCCTCAACACTTCACAACCACTTTCCTATCAACACCACCTGCCCCACTCAATCAGGTCAATGTGTTTGACTGTCTTTTTCAAGAGCTTAGATTTCCTCCCCCCATGACTGGGGATATCTCTAAATGCCTGATTATTCAAAGTACTATTTGCAGATATCCCCCAGCATCACAACCAGGAATATGCTATTCAATGAGGGCCCTTCCTCACTGAGTCTAGAGCTCCAGTCTCCTCAGGCAGCTGAGCACCTGCCCGCCATTTTCCCTCCTTCCGCTTGGCCTCAATCTCTTCTTCCCGTCTCCCTTTTCTCTACCAAGCCAGCTTCTTTTTCCCTCATCAATAATCTCCAGGCTGCAATCCAACATCCACCACACTTTACACCTCCGTTTAGTCTCAGATCCACCATGTTTCCTGTCCACTGCCATCTTCTCCCTCTCTCCTTCCCTCTTTCTCCCTCATTTGCACCAGGCAGCTGCTTTCTCCCATTTTCCGTCCCACGTTTTGCATTGCAGGCCTGGCTAAAACACAGCAAAGCGTCCCAGTCCCCTGTGCTATTGCCAGCTAGTGCCGGCCTCCGTAAGGCAGGGAGGCTTTACGGAGCCCATAGCTGGAAGGGTTTCTGCCCAGTCACGGTGGAGGCAAGAGCCTCCAGAGAACCCGAGTACATCTCTGACCGAGAGGATGGACACAGCCCTGACAGACCTAGAGACACCCGCAGCCACGGCAGGGCTGAGCAGAGCCATGTCCTAGCCCCCATGACCCTGCATGGCAGCCCGCTGCACCGCTCTGCCGCTCCTGCACCGCTGACTTGAACATTGAGCTCAATTTAGTTCGTTTCTCCCTCTTTTTATTGATTGTAAGCATGGGAAAGAGCTTTACTTGTGGCAGCAAAGGCCTCTATTAAACCTCTCTGGGTGCGCATCTTCTCTCAGCCTTCTCTTCTCAACCTACAGAAGCCCTGCTGGAGACAGCAACGGCTGCCGAGGGACGAACCAGACCGCCGTCAACGCGCTCCTACTGGGCCCACAACGGCCGCTCCCTCACCGCCCGCCCGAGGCGGTACGCGCCGCGCAACCCATCCGCGACCCATGGAATCGAGCCCCGGCGCGGCGATTGGCGGCGCCGCCCCGCCCCGCCCCTCCCCTCACATGACCGATGTCGAGGGCTCGGTCGCTCTCGCTGTTTCTCGGCGCACCCACAGTCAGCATGGGGCCGCGGTGCGCCTTCGTCCCGCTCCTCTTGCTGCTGCTCGGCACCTCCGGTGAGCGCGGCCGTGCCCGGTCCTGCGGGAGCCGGTGGCGGCGGGGACGGGCGGGACGGACGGACGGACGGGGGGGGGGGGGGGGCAGGTGTCCCCGCGGGTGCGTGCCGCCCCCTCCCCCGCCCTTTCGCGCACGTGACGCCGCGTCGGGCAACGGTCGGTCGCGCGCGGTGCTGCCGCGGCCCTCACCAGGCCTTGGGGCCATCCAGCCCCGCGGCGTCTGCCCCAGGCCAGCCCCGGCGCGCTGCTGCCGCCGCGGCGGGGAGCGGGGGCCTGTTGCTGGTACTGCCGCCGCAGTGGCAGAGAGCCGCGGGGCCGGGCAGGGTGGTAGCGAGTGTGCCTCAGCCGAGGGCCCGCCCGCAGGTGTAGCCTGCTCGCTGCGGGCCCACCGGCGCGGCTCTTCCCGGCGGGTGGGCAGCTGGAGGCGGGGATGTCGGCAGCCTGCTCTCCTCACCTACGCCTGGCTCGGGCCGTGGGGTCAGCGGCCACCGCCGCTCACAGTAGCGCTGCCCGGGGAGTGCCGCGGATGCGGTTCACAGCGGTGCGATCCAACCACTGTGGAAAGTTATCCGGAAACGTGAGGGGAGTTCAACATCCCTGTGTGCAGAGAGAGAGATTGTGGAAACAATGCGGGCACCCTGACCCCACTGCTTAAGAGGTCAGCTTGAGCCATACCACTGATAGATAATAGGAAGACCCTGGCCTACCAGCAGTATATTGTTTAAGTGTTATGTTCATGCACTCAGTATGTCAGCACAAATTAATGCTCATTTAGGTTATTAGTCTCTGTCAGGTAAATAAACTATACAACATTCTCTCTTTTTTTTATCTAGCTTTGATAAGTTTATGGTGTGCTTCATAGTTGTAATACTTTTTAGCACTCTAGCTATTCTTGCAGTGTTTGGCGAATTGAATCCAGCCCTGAAATAATTCGCTGCTTTATAATGAGCTGCCCTCTTAAGTAATTCTAGAAAATGAAGTAAAAGCAATGTCTTAGTAGCTAATAATCATATTTTATAGTTTTTTTCCAGTCTGATGCAGTGGAAGTAGATGTAAAGGATGGCGCTAATGCTACATGCCTGTATGCAAACTGGATGATGAAATTCTTGATAACATATGAAACAAACAGTAGTGATTATGTAAGTACTTGGAGGTAACTTTTATTGACAATTGTTATTTTGCCCCAGGTGAAAGTTTAAGTACACTGTCACTGAGGGCCTTTGGTTTGTTACTTTTCCCTTTTTTACTAAGTCAGTTGTTAAGACTATTCCTAAATATTCATTGTAAAACAAAGCATAAGTTCCCAATTAATAATACAAATAACTGAAAATGCCCTATTGCACTTAATTGATGTATCGGTCAAACTTGGTGGGTTTTGTTTATCTCTGTAGTAATGTTCTTAGCCTAGATAGTAAATGTAGATTGCAGCTCAGCACAGCCAAGATTTATAGACAGGTTGGAGTTCTACTTTTGCACGTGAACCTGCTGTGACTCCTTTCTTAGTCACATGTCAGGGAGCCTTTTTCTTAACTTTGTAGAACAACTTAAAATAATCCTGCTGATCTTGTGCAAGGTCCTGTGTAACTCCAGCAGGTTTATAACAGTGTCATGGTAAGAACTTCTGTCTGTGAAAACATTTAAGCCTACCCTCCTCTTCTAGAAAAACACAACCTTGAACCTGTCATCCAATGTGACACATGATGGAAGCGTCTGTGGCAATGACACAAAAGCTGCACTTCTGGCAGTACAGTTTGGAGAAGGTCACTCTTGGAGTGTTAACTTCACAAAAACCAATGAAACTTACCAGGGGGACTTCATCACATTTACCTACAACACCAATGATACCACTGTATTTCCTGATGCTAAAAGAAAAGGTAATGTTCGGTGCAGAATCCTTCTTACAAAACAGTTTTGGCTGCAAGTGTCAGATCTTACGTCCCTGACCTCAGTTGGCTTTTTCAAAGTGAGAAGGACTAATGTATCTTATAACTTATGTGGCCATGCACTGCCTAACTGTTCATCATACCTGCCAGTTGGGTAAGAGTACAGACTAGTTAGCTTCACTAATATGTGATTTGTTGAAGTGGAATGAAAGAGGAATGTTAACTGTTTGAACAGCGCTTATCAATAAGGTGCTGCTCATAGACAACGAGCACATGGAAGATTCATTTTAGTGTGCACTACTTGACCTTCCTCCTAGCAAAGCGATACAGTGTTAGGCTTTCCATGGACTAATACATACTAATAATAGGGTGGGTTTTATTTTCCTTAAATTAAAAACTTAGATTAAAGGATTCGCCTTTCTAATGGCTTGTCTAGTTCTGAAAGCACGATTACTTCTCTGCATTACTTAGCACTTCAGGTCAGGACCCATAGGTAAAACATTTGAGAGGTTAGGATTGCTAAACTTAATTAATTATATTTTTGTCTTATCAAATAAAGCATAACAGTGTTTATAAATGTTCTTGTAGTTCATAACGCATTAAAATATTTGTGCTTATTTGTAGGACCAGTTACTATTGTTGTAAAGGATACTATGCAGCCAGTTCAACTGAATAACGTCTTTGTGTGTCATAATACTGACTTCCTTGAAGCAGAAAGTGTAACACAGATTTTCTGGAATGTGACTGTGCAGGCGTTTGTTCAGAATGGCACAATTGGTAAAAAAGGTGAGCATTTCAATTTGTGAATGAGCTTTCTTTGTACTGCATCTTAGGGCAGGGAGCAAAGCCCCATAATAAAAAATCCACCAGTTCTAAGATGTGCTGTGTCGACTAACATTCATGTAAATATCCTTTAGTACATCTTTCTTTGTTCCTGGAAAAACAGATAAGTAGGACAGGTTTAGTTTTGGGGGTTTTTGATACATAGTCATGTAGATTGTTCCCATGCCAAGGAGATAGTGTAATAAAGTGTATATTCCAGTTAGTGAGGTATTAAAAATAAGCACTTTAGAACTATGGTTGCTGACTAGATCATTTGAGCTTCAAGGTTTTTAACTGACTGTCTTCCATTTTCACTGGTAGCCTCTGTTTTGGGTTGGGTTTTTTTTTTCATTTAAACAGTTCAGAGCCTATCAAGAGATGAGCATGTGATCCTGCTACATATAACTTAATAGGGTTGCTTATTTTGTCTACAGCAAATACATATCACACAACCATCTGTCTTTGTGTGTTTCACTTTTGTGGGTCAGAGTTAAGCAGTATTGCATATGCTACATGGATTCAAAACTGAGAGCATTACAGAATTTCTGAGAAAAAACAATAGCTGTAAATTATTTGGAATACTGCACCATAGTGTTGAGTTTAAGACTTGTGACTTGATTAGCAGCCCCCAGTGAGAAACTGGTTATCTGCATTAAACTGACTTCTGAGTTGTAAGAGTTCAATACAGTTTCAGCACTAAAATGATGATTAAATTTCTTTTCAGAGTCTAGGTGTCATGCGGATACACCTACTTCAGCACCTACAGTTCCTCCTACTGTTGCCAATGTAACTACTGCATCTACTACCACTGCGTCACCTGCTCCAACTACTGCTCCCAAACCTGTGGAGAATCCAGAAACAGGAAACTATTCTCTTAAAAGTGGAAATAAAACTTGTCTTCTGGCTAATGTGGGGCTGCAGCTGAACGTTTCCCAAGACAAGGTGCTTCTCTTCTATCTTTAGAAAAGTACAAAGGTTGTAATTATCTGGTATGAAATCTGAGTGCAGGGTATTGGCTTTGTATGCTGCTTACTGTCCAGTACTGCTTCTAAATATTGTACATAACATCTCTCTGACATCAGAATACTTTTGTGGCATAGTATTTAGCTTTAAAACCCTATATGGATTCTATTTAACCTGTTGCTGGGAGTACCTCTAAAGTTATTAAAAGCCTGGAGCTTCCTTAATTTTATGGCAGTTGGTCCCTGCAGATACGGTCTTTTCTCCACAGAGGGAGCCAGAGCTAACCTGTTGTATTGGAGCAACAAAACAGGACCTCAATTCGTTTGCTTCAGCATTACCAGCATGTAAACTTAACTCAAGTAGCCTTGATTTGGTAGTAGCTAGGCTTAATCTTCCTGTGGTCATCTTCATGACGAGCTCTTCTAGTCTAAGACTGCTGCTGACTGAAACAGTGTCTTCCTGATGGCAGCTGAATGGCCTTGATGTGGTGTGTCTGTGTTTCAGCCTCTTCTGATCAACATCAACCCAAAGACAACTAGCGCAGATGGTGCCTGTGGTAACACAACAGCTACTCTGAAATTGAATGATGGAAATAGCACATTGATAGGTTTCACATTTGTTGTTGTAAGTAGCTTCTCTTACTTTAAACTATATTTCCAACAGCATTACATGATGATCAATAATAGTAAACCCTTCAGTCACTTGCTAGTGGTAGTCTGTTCCCATATAGAATGCGGAGCTGGCTAGCTGAATGCCTCAAGACAAATGAAATACTGGCTTAAAGCTGTAGAAACAGCTGTAAGACACTGGTAGATATGTTAGCCTTTGTAAAGCCTGTGTTCTTAACGTTAAAACTACAGAATGCACACTGACACTTGGTTCTTTTTTCTTAAACAGAAAAATGTAAGCAAAACTGCACAAAAATTTTACCTGAAAGAGGTGAATGTTACACTGCTCAATCGCCTGAATGGTTCTGGTAAGAAATTGTATCTGCCTTAAAGCCAAGTCTAAACTTTTATTTAATGTCTGTATTTATCAAATACTTCCAACTTTTTTTTTTCCAATGCTGTTTATGCTTACTGTTGCTTCCTACTTTAAGCCTTACATTAGTAGGAACAAAAGCAGTAAGCAGAAATAGCTGTAAGCTACTTTAAACATCAGTGTGGGATTATTCCCTTTTCCTGAAACTTCTGCTAATGTGTGTCTATACAAATTGAGGGTGGTGAGGCACTAGAGTAGAGAAGCTGTGGATGCCACATCCATAGAAGTGTTAAAGGCCAGGTTGGACAGGGCTTTGAGCAACCTGGTGTAGTGGAAGATGTCCCTCCCTGCCTGTGGCAGTGGGTTGGAACTAGATGCTCTTTAGGGTCTCTTTCAACCCAAACCATCTTACGAAATTAAGAGATCTTCTTTATAATGTTTCCAGTAACAGACTTTTGAGGTGTGAAATACAGTTGTACCAACGATGAAGCTTTTTATTATACTTAAACCAGCTGTTGTCTTTGACTGAAGATGCTGCTGTATCTTCCAACCACTTCTACTTAGCTCTCACTGGGAAAAGAGACCAGTGCTGTAAAAACAAAAGCATACTTGTTTCCAAATGGAAAGTATGGGTTTTTTTAAATTTGCTTGTCATGTCTGTTGCAGTTAAAAGGGCATCCCAACACAGTGTTGGGATGAATGGAGGCACAAGAAAAGCCTGTGTGGAGAATAGGATATTGTTAAGTACTATAATAACTTCAGTGCCTGATTTCTCTTGGTTAAGCAGATCAGTTGCACTTCAGACTACCTTGTTTTTCAGAGTAGTCAGTGTTGAAAAGTTGAGCCCTCTAGATTCAGGTCCTTAGTCTTATGATTGTATTAGCAACATTCTTGCGTTTGAAGTGGGCATACAAATTTCTTGTTTCCTTTCTTTTTCCTTCCTCTTTGTTTAGTCATCTCAAATGCAGATAACAGCAATTTCAGCAAGTGGGATGCTTTCCTTGGTACTTCTTATATGTGCCAAAAAGAGCAAACTCTTGAAATTAGTGACAATATTCAAATACATACATTTAATCTATGGATTCAGCCATTCCTTGTGGAGGAAAATAAGTTCTCTACAGGTAAGAGTTCTTTTGTTAATTCTTGCAATACTTGCAAAATTGTTACTTGCAAAAAAGCACCAGCATTGGGGTTTACGCATGGAATGAAGTGGAGTTTGGAGACTGACATTCAAGTTCAGGGAAAGCTTTGTTCTCACTTAAAAAATATCCGCTACGTATGTTGGTTCTCCTTCATAAGACTTGAAGGAGTTAGAGACCCTCTAACTAAGAGGGACTTAAGTGTTGCCTTGCAGTATAGGTTAGAAATTATCTGATACCATCCTGACATACAGCTTTTTGTAGCTCGAATATATAAGAAAATGGGGCAAAACCTCAGCACAAGTGGACTTTGGTAACACTGTTAGGTGTTTAGTTTCTTTTTACCTGTCAGTCTAAGGAACAGGAGTGTTGAGGGGGGAAATGAATAAACAAAGCTTCTTTCAGAAGCAGTCTTGAATATCCAGAACTAAAGAAAGATTCTGAAATGTTTGTGTTATCCTGGTCTTGTGTGGGGAAAACTGGAATGGTTTAAGTGACCTGTTTCTTAATTTTTAGTAACCTGGTGTTTGTGCTTAATGACAATACTTGCACTACAGTCTTATTAGGCTAATCTGTAGACACATAGATTGGGTGCACATTTTTTCACTTCCTTTTTTTTTTTTTTTGGTAGAGGTAAGTTTAACTCCCCAAACACATGCAGGGTAAACAGTATTGATCATAATGCATCTTGTAGAGTTAGGGCCCCATTTCACTCTGTAGTTCAAGTTGCAGATAGCTTCCTTCTCCTCATTAGAGTTATTTCATCTCTCTTAAACACATCTCCATCCTGGGTAGGTTCTTGATACCAAATCAAGGTCACTTTATTCCTAATGAGTAAAAGCACCAGTCTTGCCTTAACTGTGAAGTAGATGAGCCTGGTTCTGTTCTTTTAAAAGTAGAAGAATGGCTACTCTCTTCTCTAGTAAAGATCTTATGCATGTGAAAACTCATACACTGTTAGGTTACTATAGTTTGTCAAACATTCCAAGTGATTACAATGCTTAGACGTACCCTTGAGACCTCTGCAGTTCTTTCTCTCTTAGTTCAAAGATGTAATAGCACTTGCTTTATGAACCTTCAGATTTTTATACCACACTTGGCAAGTATTTTGTCTTTATTTATTCCTTGTTGCAACATTTTTTTCATCTACAGCCCAGGAGTGTTCGCTGGATGATGACGACATTCTAATCCCAATTGTAGTTGGTGCCGCACTTGCTGGCTTGATTGCCATTATAGTGCTTGCTTACATAATTGGCAGAAGAAAAAGCTATGCTGGATATCAAACTTTGTGAATCTAAGTGTGATTCCTGTTCTGATTTCACTCTAAACAAAGCAAGTGCAAGTTCTGAAGTCCAAAAAAGACCCAAAACTTAGGAGTAATTACTAGCCACAGCTAACTGGAGTTGAGAAACAAAGAGGGAGTGCTTCTCTCAGATGAAGCAGAACTACATTTTTAGTTTTCCTGCTCGAAGAAGACAACATGGGTTTCATAGCTGTTTTGAAGATGTCAAATACTGAATGAATTGTTAGGCTAAGGATTTTATCTTGCAAAAACCCTAAAATGTTTAGGATTTATTTCTGCTTTTTACAAACTGTAGCCTGAAACAAGGATACATTCTAAACTAAAGTGCATTGGGCAACTCCCAGAATAGCATAGAATTTGTACTTGCTTCTCTCCTCTGCGTTCCTTAGTTGTTGTCATACTTGTGGGTTAAGCTGGCAGTATTAGTCACTATGTTGACTTGTATAGTATTTAACAAGGATTGTACGATGCCCAGTAACAACTTTGTTTTTCATAGAATGGAACTTGAGGCTGGTGATTAAGTGATCTTTTGAAGTGGCAGCAGTAACTTACTTGGCTTTGACAGTCTGAGTACTTTACTCCTGCCTTGGTGTAGTTTCGGGAATCATTCCTATACCCTGTCTGTACAAACAAAATGGGTAACCTGTATTTGCCAAATGGTGGATATATAGGAAGACTTCAGTGCTGTTTCCAAATGCTTTCAGAAAAGAAAAAAGGAAAATTACTGTTAAGCACTGAATTCTTCATCACTTATTATACCTTGGCAGTCATCTAAAATACTCATCTGAGGCAGAGTTCTGCTAAATTAATGCAAGCTTTTCTGCTGGCATCAGTTTAAAGGGAATAACCTTTCTAAATATTCCAGAACTTAAAGTGCACTTAACTTTATATCATACTCTGCACAGAACTGGTCTGTCTTGTTGCTTTGAATGACCATTTTTTAAAGATGCTTTCATTTAATGAGCCAGTATCTGTTGTTGCAGCTTGAGCTGTCTTTAAATCTTCATCTTGACTGGTTCTCTGCCAATCAAAATTCACACTATAGCGGCCCGCCATTGGCATTCTGAATGTTTAATGTACTTTGTGTTTGATTGTTTGCTGTGTAGCGTTTATTAATGTTAAGAATGGAAAAGCCAAACAAGTCTCAGATGGACCCACAAAACCTGTTTTTCCTTGCTGTATGGAAAGTATAACTAGCTTAACAAATAAATGCAGTGCAACTGGACTGTTCTTAAACTGCAGCTCTGTAGAGACTAACCCTTGCTGCACAACTTCTCTGGCCTCCGTGTGCTCTAATACAGTTTTTACTGCATGGGAAAAACACCCCAAGTTTTCAGACTTCTAGGTAAGTGTGGCTTTTTTGCGTATGTCATAACATGAGCTGCCTAAACTGGTTATTTAATGAACATAACGTTGCCTCCCTCTTTAGAATGAGTTTAGCCTGCATCAGAGCTGGTTTAGTGTTTTATTAGTGTTTCCTAGGGTTGTAGAGATGTCTGTGGCATGTTTGTATACAAATCATAAAACACACTTCTTTCAGTAATTTCTTTAATTTTTTGTAAAAACAGTTTACTCTGATACTAGCCAAGGAAGCAAGTATGGGTGGGTAATGCTTACTATAGCTTGTAGCCTACAGCTTGAATTTTGCATCAGTTACTGAAATTCATTTTAATGAAAGTGAGGAACTGCTATAAGGTTAATTCTGAAACAGGCTTCAAGACTTACCATTTTAATTTAAAAAAAAGTGGATCTAATGATTTTCATATTAATATATCCTGAAATGCAGAAGTTCATCTAGATTTTTAACATTTTTGTGACTGATGTGCAGTGGCACCAGTTACACATGCATTTCTGTTAAGGAGTAGTTACCACACTGTACTCATCTGACCATGCAAATTTTTGGACTGTGCACGGTTTCCAATAGAGAAGATTAGTGCAGACTGCTCCAAAAATACAACGATACTAGGAGTATCTTTGCTAAGCCCTGCAACTTACTCTTCACGTGCAAGTATATTGGCTCAGAGATTCAAGTACTCCTAGACTGATGTGCAGATAACTGGTTCAAAAAACATCTAAGTTTCACCTGAATGCCTGTTGTTATAAAACCACTAGTTTTCCTGTATGTATTGCTCCATAGAGAACTGTCAACCTGTTCAACATGTGCTCTAAATAATAAAGATTGTTCTATTTCTTAAGGAAACTTGGTCATGTTTTTTAACCAATTTGAAAAAGGACATCTTGTACTGTCTTTTTTTAAAGAAAATAAACTAAATGAGTAAGGTCAACTTCAGTCAGTCTGCATCAGAGAGTCTGTTCTGTAGCTGGTGAAGGTGCTCCTCAAAGAGTCCTCTGTTGTTTGTGTCTTAATACCTTGTTTTGCAGCGCCTTCTGGCCCAATCCACTGGCAGAAGACAGTTGGGGAGCCGACTGAGACACTGTACATCTGGTTCAACATTTGAAATTTGCTTGTCAGCTTTTTGTGTCAGTTGTCTTCACATCCAGGCAGGATGTTTTTAAGGTTGATTTTTTTTTTGCCATCTTAAATGGGTGAGCTATGAACAGCTCAGTTTCTCCTTGCAGTTGCCCTGGAAAATTGAATTGGTCTCTGCATTCCGCAGAAGTAGGAAAGCCTTAGGGAGCTGCCTGGGAATTGGCTAGGAGTTTCATCCTCTGTGATGGAGGCTGTGTTGATCCTGTTTGTGCTGCCAGCTCTTCTGGTGACAGTACTACTGCATACTGTTTTTCTGAATCTAGAGAGACTAGTCTTCCTTGTACCGTATCTCTTTCTAGCCTACCTTGTGAATTCTACGGCCATATGACAAGGGGAAAAAGTGCAGTTTAATCCTATACACTTTTCTTGGTTCTAGCCTGCACTGCTTATATAATCACTGTGTTGGAGCTACCTTCTTATCTGCTATACAAGGTCAAAATAATGTTAGCACCTTCCTGAAGTGTCAGCTGAAGCTTTTTTTACTGTGAAGAGCACAAGTATTTTAATAGGCTCTTGTTAAAGAGCTTAGCAGTGGGGCTCCTAAGAATGCAAATCAAAGTTTATTTAACCTATGATGGGACTGCAGACATCAAATTGTCAGTACATGTCAGCCTGCAAGAGTCTGCAGGAGTTACTACTGTCATTTTCAAGACTGTATGTAACAGAATTTTGAGTCTGTTAGGATGTTTAGGAAGGGGAGCTATTGCTTTTGTGTTCTGGGAGGAGGTCAGGGCTCTGTGGATGGCTGGCTGATGTCCTGCTGGGGAAAGGCACAACTGGTCTGAATAATTAGAAGGAGATGATAGTGTTAAATTCTTCTATTCAAATGCATTTCTTTTTCAGACTTGCCCTTTTTCTATTTAGCTGAGGTCTGTAGCCCAGAGGCAGAGAACTTAGCTGTGCCTGCAGCAGTAGGAACAGCTTTGGGAGGATTAGTTATCCTGGTACATACTGGCTTACTTTCTTGCTGTAATGTTGGATATGAGTAGTTTTTAAATGGAAAAGTTTAACTTTATTTGAAAAATAATCAGAATTCAAAAGATGCTTTGCTTGTGGAGCCAGGCAGATGGGTTGTTAGAAGAAAGCATTGTTAGGTTCAAACATAAACTGTGACAACTAGTAGTTCCTAACTTATTGATTCATCAGTTCCACTTCTGCCAAACTATTGCACATTAACCCAGAATATTAAAGACATGCAGCGGCACGTGAAAGAAATAGTTTTGTTCTGGTCTGTGGAAACAGCATTTGACTTGTGTGAGCTTGTGGGTGTTGAATGTTAATGTGTATAAACTATCATAGACTGGGGTTTGGTTTGATTACTATTGACTGTGCCTTATATACAGTTTACTGACTACTAAAATTGTGCTCTAAGATACCAAGATTTCTGCTCTTTTAGCTTAAAGGCGCCATCCATAATTCTGGTCCTCAAAAGAAGCTTTTCCAGCCAATGAACATCTCTAAGTTTTAAGTCTGCCACAGTGTTTTCTATGGTGCGGGGTATACCAATAAAACCACAAAATTTGGGGCCATTGGCTGTGTCTCATGATTGGAATTAAAAGGGAAGATAGCTTTTATGCTAAGGTTAAAATATTGGGGGTGAAAATTTCTGGTTATTTTAAATGGAGACATGTACAACCAAACACGTGGAAAAAGCCCTTCATCCTGGCCTGGATGTGGAGTCTGCTGCTTGGGGTGCACAGTTACCAGGTTGTACAGCTGAAGATACTGCTGTGGACCTTCTAAGCATTGTACATAACAGCACATGGACAGACGTGTGCCAGCAGCAGTGGCAAACTGGAGAGAGGTAAAGGATGGAATGTTCCTGGTATGAAACTTTAAGCCCTTTTTATCCTGGGAATTCCTTGTAGCAGTGCCATAGTGTGACGCATATGGCAGCAATCTCCTTCCTTTAAAGAAGAGAGGGAATTTCTTGTTGCTGCCTGCTCGGGCACCTTTCATCCTTAGGAAATTAATTCATGTTTAAGTATTGACAACCCATTATACCACATTTAGTAGTTAAATTGTGTACGTTGATCTTCAGTGAACAAAGATGACTAAATATCAAATGTAGTTCTCTTTTTAAGATACTTGCACACTTTCTCAGTAATCAGAATATTTTGGAATAGCTCACTGTGTAAGGTATGTATTTCCTTTCCACTTTTTTCCCCCTTTCCCAGTGTTGCTCTACTGGCTGTAGGTGCCTTCAGATTGTCTGAGTTCAGCATTTTCAGGTGCTGAACCTCCCGTGGTGTGCTTTTTCCTCTTAGCCAGTGTGCGTTCGTGAAGGGGTACTGCACTGTAGTGAGCTAAATCAAAACAATGAATTTCCCATAACCAACACTGGTTCAGTCAGAGGCTCAAATGGCTTAAATATTCACTTAGAACAATAACTTTGGATAACGCATTGAAAGTGTGCCTGATGCTCTGCTCTAATACAAACCCAAGCAAAAAGTTTTATGAGGAGCTCTGCTTTGTTGAAAGCATGCAAGCCAAGCACCCTTGCAGTGCTGAAGCAGTACACGGACACTGTCATCTCTTATGAAACATCTCATCTTGGCACCACGCAGGTGGGGCTCTGCTCTCTACAAACAGGAAGAAGGCCAAGCCCTGCCTCCATGCCTAGGGTGCATCACTGAGTTGGAAATCGGTTCCCAGTGTTGTTTGAATTCTTGCATGAGTGTTTGTACCAGCAAGGAGTTCATCACATATTTTATAACCTGTGGATTAAAAGCCACCATAGCATTACAGCTGTCTCGCTGTTGATTTCAATAAAGTCTGTGTAGTTTTCAGCTGAAACCAATAACCCTTTTCTTGTACTTGGAATGAAACTAAATAAAGTTACTTAAGGAGAGAAGTCTTTCAGTATTTTACATTCAGTGCTTTCAGCATATGTATCTTGGCTGTCTCTTTGTCGCTTGGTGTGCTGTCTGTTGGTTCTCTCTGTGTCCAGAAGCTGGAGAACATTGAAGGTTTGGGAAGTCCCTAGACAAAGCAGCGATACACCAGCCTGTCTTTTTCTTTGTTGTTATATTGCTGTTAACTCAGGTGTGATCAGCTGATGTGTGCTGTTTTGTATACTGCTTGCTAGAGCAGGAAGAAATTAAATGTACGAATACAAATGATGTGTAATCTATGCGTGTAAAGAAATCAGTCTTTATCAACTCTTTACTCAGTTTTTGATTCAACTAATTTACGTTATATGTATTGCTGTATCTAATCCAGTGTTAAGGTCTCAAAAGTGTCTGCTCCTTGCTTGCTTCGGTTTCTAATGCTTGGTTTCCTTTACTAATTTTTTCTCCCTTGCCTTTTTTTTTCTTCTTCTTTCTGCAGCTGAAGAATGCTTGGCTGATTCTGACCTGAACTTTCTTATTCCCATCGCAGTGGGCATGGCACTTGGCTTCCTTATCGTTCTTGTCTTTATATCTTATCTCATTGGAAGAAGAAAAAGTCGTACTGGCTATCAGTCTGTATAACCTCTTAATTCTGCCTCTGCTGCCACCTTCCTTGCTTCTCTTCTTCTCCCAGACTCCCTGATCTGCCCCTTTAGGAAGAAGAAAAACAAATGAATTCATAGGGTTTTTATTAAAAAAACCCAAACCCATTTCACAACAGAATAACTTGCTGTGGGCCTGAAGATGAGCTACAGAATTACCTGAAGCTACTGTATGATTTTTGAGAAAGTAAGTGTGCCAAGGACCATAGAATTGAGTAGGGCTGGTGTGTGTCTACGTGAGAATATGTGATTCTTATGAGTAAAGAAGGCATCTACCAAACTTAATTTCTGTTGTTTAATCTTTTTATACAAGAAAATTTCTAGTCGAGTACAGCTCATCTCAGATAGTGCTAAAGCTAAAACCATAATTCAAGGTGTGAATGCTGTGTGGAAAGGGACTCTACACGCTTTGGGAAATGAATACCAAGCTCTTAACAGACTTCTGGGAACTTGGCACATGGCTGTTATCTTTTTTCATTAGCAGCTTGTTCTTGTGAGTGAGTCTGAATTTCCTATCCCTTCTGAACGGTAAGGCAGTCCGTGACCTCACTAATAAACTAACAGAGTGTAAGAACATCTGATGGTTTTAGTAAATTCATTTGTTTAGCATCGGTATGGAGAAGTTGACAGCTAATGTATGTTAAATAGCTTAGCACCAGCATGATGTCTTATTGTCTTTATTCACCAAGATAAGGCTCAGTCCTGGAGAACTTGTGCTACTCAGCAAAGCCAACAGGCTGCTGAAGGGAATATGTCCTGTGCTGTTTTGTTTGCGTTTTCCCTTTTGTTCTGAGCTCAGTTGTGAAATTGAGTGGAAGGCTGGAATTTCACTGGCTGCAGTTTGTCTTGGCTTTGATTCTGTGCACATAAAAGGAACTACACTGCATTTCAGCACTGGTTCATGTGAGGCTCAAGAGGATTTTGAGAGCTCTCAAAGACTGACTAAGAACACAGATTGTTCAGTGATTCCTGCAGTTTCTTTGGACAGCTTTCATAGGTTAATAGGGGATCACTGAACAGCTGTGATCTAGGCATGCAGGTGAAGGTAAAACCAGTCTGTTTTGATAGGATTAATCTGCTTTTACCCTCCTAATTATTGCTCCATCTCACAACGGTTGAATACCGTAAGAGCACAGATTTCTACTATGAGGAATGCTGATTGTAAAGCAGAAACTAAAATACACATTTAGTGAAGAAAGTGACTTCCAAAGAAGTAAGAGCATCATCTTGTTTGAAGATTCTTCGTTGTCATTAGTGCTATAACTTTTATTTCTATGTTCCATATCTAAACTGTCCCAAAGTAGAAGCTACTTGTTTGTGGTTGTGTTCTGCTTCATTCCTATCAGGTTCACGCTGATAAGATGAAAGGAGCTTCTTACTCTTTCTGTGTCTTTAGTCCACCTTGGTAAAAGCCTTTTGCAGCCTGTAAACCCTAGTTTCCAACTGTGGGACAGCTCAAGAGCTGCCAGGTCTGCTGAGAGCTGACGACACATGAGTTTCGGTCCTCTACAGCAAGTGTTTGCTTAAGCCGCTTTAATATTTAATCTCTTTGTGTATTAAACCTCTATCTACGTGGTAGGGAAAGTACCTTCAATAATTCACATGCACAAAGGAGATGGTCAACACTGATGTTTAAGTAACTTGCAATAGCTATATATTTAGGGAAGGGAGATTTCTAAAGAGTTAGCTTTTGTGCTTGAGAAATACCTGTACGTTCAATCATCCCTGTCCTCACTGTGACCAAAGATAAGCTTTGCCTGAATCTGACAAAACTGGTTTTTGTACCACAAAGGGGCTCTTGAACCAAGTTGTCTTTGTTTTTTTTAGGACTGTAGGTTAATGCTGTGTGTTGGATTGTGTGCTTTGGGTTTGGTTGCCTTGGTCTCGTGTTGTACCTTTGCTCTCGCAATACTCTGTTTCCCTGCCAGAGTGGTAAGTGGTGAATTATTTTGAGACTGGCAAAGCTGAGTAACACCAGCTTGTCGGGGTGTGCTGCTTCCCTGCTGCCAGCAGATGGATTCCATCGATGGTTTCATGCTCAGGTTGCAGATCCAAGTGTTTTGCATCACTTTTGCTAGGTTATTTTAGTCAAATACAGTAATTTCCTAGATGCACACATTTATATATATATATGTATTTTATAGATACATACAAAGTATTATTTTGGGCTTCACTAGAAGTCAAAAATTGAGTCAGCACTTTAAGGTTGTTGTAGCATGAGAAGTGGTGTATGCAATTCTCCAAATCCCGAAATGACTGTACAAACATGCTGAAAGCTGACTATGTGTTTGGAAAATAAAGTTAACTACAGTGTTTATAAAGCTTTGTTTAAGTGTAAGTAGGCCTGCATGTCATTTCTGAGAGCTTTTCCAATGGGATTGTCAATGTCCCTGGATCTGGATGTTCATGGGGAAAGAGAAACTTTTGTTTTCAAGCTGTTCACACATTTATAGCCAAATTAGTTGATCTTTCTTTGATTGGATCAAAACATGGGTCCAGTGTCTGATAAAGAGCCAGCTGCTTCAAGAATCCTTCCAATAGGCAGGTAGGGAATAGATATAAATAGGATTTTGTCCTGTTGCTAGCTGGAGAGCTGTTAATTTCATGGCCTGAAGTACGAAGGATCCTACAGAAATATGAATGATTTAAAAGAACTAAAGCATTTGGCACTAAGGGAAATGTTTGCGGGTTTAACTTATTCCTGATGCCAAAGGAAGAGCTGCTACCAAGGCAGCACCTTCCTTGGCAGAAGCCAATTTGTGTTGGTCAGAACATGCCCTTTCAGATAAGTTGTGCAGGCAGAATGATGGTGTTGCCCTAGCTCTAGCAGTGTCATGTGGATAACCACATCTGAGCAAAATTAGTGCCTAAACTACCTCTGGCTTAGGTTTTTAACAGTTCTTACTAGTTTTTGCCCAACGGTTGTTTGTGATACTTAGCATATAGTAAGTCTTATCGTACTGGGCTCCTGAACTCTCCCCTAGAAAGTTAATTAAGTGCCCAAACTTCAAGGATCACATTATATACTGCCTTAAAATTCAGTCCCTAACTGGCCAGTACAGGATGTTAAAGTCACAAACTGCATCTCTTACACCAGTGTTTTAAGAATGGTACTATGGAGTTAATTTTAATGGAGTCGCTTTATTTTTAATACAAAAATGACTTCTTAAGGGACTTATGTAGATCAGGAGACGATGGCAGGTTGGGTACCTGGACTAGGATGTAGGACAAGCATACCATAATGCTCTTGTTCAGTCAGTAATTTTAGTAAGTGTGCTCTGCAACTAGTACATTATCCCAAGGTGTCCTGGCCTGCCGCGTTCTCATCGCTCCTAGCACATGGAGTGTAGTTCATCTGTTGGGTGCGAAGGGTACACAGGCCAGGGAGGGTGAGGCTGCTCAGGTCAGCAGCGCTCCACTCTGACAGGGGCCCATGTGCTCCATAGGTCTTTGAGGGTGATCAGCTGATGACTTTGCTTACCGGCATTGACCTCGTAAACATTAAACACCAGTATTTCCCTGTGGTCTTCTGCAGCATTGTAGCTGCAAACTCTCTGGAACACGGGAGAACAAGCCTGAAATATTTGGGGAGCAGGGGTCTAACGTGTTTCAGTGGCACTTCTTTGCCAGTGGAAGGAGGTGCCATCAACCTGTGAACCATGACAGAGAGAAGGGCTCCTTTCGCTCATCCCTGCCTATAAACTTAATGAGGATTCTTGGGGCAGAGAGAAGCACTGGGTGAGGAGGAGGAGGAGGAGGAGGAGGAAATGCTTTAATCTTCCCAGTTCAGAAAGGAACAGTTAGAAAGGTTCAAGGGCAAATGATTTTCTACATGACCTTTGCTCCAACACCTTGGGTGTGCTGAACAAGCTGTGTGAAATGCCGCAGTCAAATGCTCCTAGTGCTCAACATCCTAGGAGGCATTTTGAAATCTGCTGTTTTCCCCTTTTAACCGTGTCTTTGCAGGCATAATCCAGAATTTTTGCTCTTTATTATTTTAACAAGGATAGTGCTATAATAAACTCTTCTCTTGGTAGCTGTTGCCTGAGAAATACACATAAAAGTATGGTACAGTTTAAAATGTAGAGCCAGGAAAAATGCATTCCACAGGAGTCACCCATAAAAGACCTTATGAAAATAAGTGTTCAGATACCAGAGGGGGGTTTTTTAATCAAAACCAAAATGCTTTTGCAGGTTGTCTGTCCAGATGACTTTTAATTTTTACCAGTAATGATTTACATCAGATGGTGAAAAATGTGCTTCCACATCCATTGCATCTCATTTGTTTTGTAACTATGAACAAAAATAAATTAACAAAAATCTCCATGTGCCTGTTTTTCCTAGAAGAAAAAAATGCTGGCTTTATGCTTTAGAAAGGAAAAAGCCTCTGATTGACTTAACCTAAGTGCCCAGTGTTTGCAGTGGCTACTTTCCAATACTAAGTGTGAAGATGATTCTGCCCAGGAAGCGGTCGCTGTTAAGGTCATTGATAATACCTTTCCCATTCAGACTGCACTGAATAGGGACCAAATAATTCCTCTTCACATCTGTAAAGTGCATAGCCACCAGTGGGGATGTGTAGTTGACCTGAAACGAAGAGAGGTATAAGTGTCATTTTTGAGGGAGCAGAAAAGCAGGCAGTGCTTTCATGTGCAGTAAAAATCCCCGGTAATGGGTTCATGGTTCCCAGGTGTCCAAGTGCATTTGCTTGGTCCTCGGTATGCTGAAGCTGAGCCTTTCTGTGCCTGTACCTCAGAGGGATGTGATGACATCAGCTTTGCACTGCACCATGCCTCTTGGGTTGATTAGTCAGGGCAAGCATCACCAGATACAGGGACTCTTAAATACTTCCTGCTGTTCTAAAAAACTGACTGGCTTGTAATAAGACATTTGTGGTGTTCCTCAGATCTGTGTGCTGGAAGGACATGCACACTGGGGCTGTTACTCATCCTCAGCCAGCTGCAGTATGACCACAGGGGGCTGGAACACCTCCCATATGAAGACAGGCTGAGAAAGTTGGGGCTGTTCAGCCTGGAGAAGAGAAGGCTGCGTGGAGACCTCAGAGCAGCCTTCCAGTATCTGAAGGGGGCCTCTAAGGGTGCTGGGGAGGGACTCTTCATTAGGGACTGTAGTGACAGGACAACAGGTAACAGGTTAAAACTTAAACAGGGGAAGTTTAAATTGAATATAATGAAGAAGTTCTTTCCTGTAAGGGTGGTGAGGCACTGGAATGGGTTGCCCAAGGAAGCTGTGAATGCTCCATCCCTGGTGGTGTCCAAGGCCAGGTTGGACAGAGCCTCAGGTGGCATGGTTTAGTGTGAGGTGTCCCTGCCCATGGCATGCGGGTTGGAACTGGATGATCTTAAGGTCCTTTCCAACCCTAACTATTCTATGATTCTATGAACAGGAGTCTAGCGCCTGCCTTGCCTTCCATTTCAGCTGTTGTTGTGAAGGTGTGTTACCTCCTATCATGATACAGCTCAGCGCAGACCAAAGCAGTGTTGGATGGCATGTTCAGAAATAGCCGCTGGTGTTGGACTGGTTTAAACCAGTTAAACCCAGCCTGAAGTGGTTTTGACATAGCTTTGACAGAAGCCCCATCCTGTTCCTCTTCTGTCACTTAACCCCTGACTTCCCTAACGCCCTGGGAAACGCTAGTGTTGAGACCTTCTCTGGGAGTTAGCACAGGCTCAGTCTCCAGATGAGAAATGAAATCATTCCCGTTGCTGCCAAGGGGCAACCAGAATCCCCAAGGATTTTCCTCAGTTTGTCAGAGACAGAAATAGAGCACTGTAATCCCAGTGCCCGCGGCCTCTCTCCTGCCTGCATCTGCCCAAAATAGCCAGAAAGCACATCTGTACCCTGTGCAGCAGCTCCTGCTCTCTCCTCACCAAGGAGACATAACAAAGATGCCAGAGTCCTTACTTACATGAGTGAACTTGCCATAGTAGGGGTAATACATGAGATCAAATGTCCCGTTTCCAGGGTAGAAGTCCACAGCTCTGAGATCGCTCTCATTGCCTTTCTGTGATTGGAAAAAAAACCAAAGGGACACACATAGCACATGGGACACGGAATGCAGCTCCCTTCAGGATGGTGTGAAGGAGCTTTAATACTGAAACCTCTTGCAAATCTCTGTCAGGGCTCAGCTGCACTTGCGTCCATGCAGAGTTTGCTGTGAGAGCCAGCTGCTGCTGCAGTGAGTGGAGCATAACAGTGCTATGAAGACACAGGCAGGGTTACAGGATTTGTGCCTGTCAATCCCTCCCTGCACTTGTCTAGTTCTGTACCGCTCTCTGTTCAGGCAGTGGGAGCCCTTCATTTACCCTATTGCTGGGAGCTTGCAAGGCACTCCCAGGACCAAGGGTCCTGCAGAGCAGTGGGGATGGATGTGAGCATCTCCTGCCTCTGCCCCCTGAGCTGCAGGCTCTAGCTGGTACCCAGCACCCAGCACTGCCCTCAGGGGCTGAGCAGGGCACTGCTGGTGAGCCTGGCTCTGGCAGCACGTGGAGGGCAAGGGTGGGAAGCAGGAGACTGGTGCACTGCACCCAGAGACATTGCAGCACTGGGTCCTGTGACTGAGGCTCAAATGGGGATGAATATTGGTGGAGACCATCAGAGGGAGAAATTTGGCCTTCTACGCACCATGCTGACAAGCGCAAATGAGAGCAGTACCTGCACTTTGCAGTCCACTCTCACAGGGACCCCAGCGCCAGGGCGGTAGCCTATGATCTGCAAAAACAAAAGACACCCGTGCTTGTAGGAAATGCAGTGGTAAACATGTGCAGCCTCCCTTCTCCAGGGCTTAAGCTCTTGTACACGCCGATCACATTACTCAGGGCAGGAGTTCTGTGTTCCTAGAAGCAGGGTCTGCCACCCCATGCACTGAAGGAAGGAGTTAAGATAACGAGCTTTCTCTGTACCCGGTTCATCTTCAGCAGGATGCAGGGCTGGCCTTTAGAGTAGCCAAACGTTGGGTCCTCAATGCCAGAGCAGTTCCGCAGAAGGGAGCGTTTGAACTGGCAGGCCTTCTTCTCCTCGCTTTCATTGCCCCCCTGGATGAAGTACTGTCCTGAGACACACTCGATATTCTTCTCCTCTTGAACTTTGTCATCGTAAGCTGGCGGGGACCAAGAGACTTGTTAACATTTCTGGAGACCTGCACGTAGCCACACTCTCAGAGTACATCCGCATGTCAAGGGAGTTAGAAAGTCCCACCCGGAAAGGCAAGGCTCCTGTGACCATTTTAGGAGCCTCTTTCTAGACTCATGAGATGCCCACAAGGAGGTCCCTGCACTGTTGTGCGCCTGTGTGCACGGATGCAAACAGCTTGCCAATATGACCCTGGGGTGACTAAGAGCTTACCTGCTAGGAAGTGGTGCATGCTGTCCACGTAGGGCTGCCACGTGCTGGGCTGAGAGACATTGAAGGCAATAGTGAACCCATTCAAGTACGGCCTGATCATTACTCCTGGAGAAGGAGACAGACCCTGTTAGAGCAAATGTAGGTGGACTTGGGGTGGACATGGACTTGGGGTGCATGTTGCCGGGGCTGGATGCACTGCGATTGGGCTCGGGGCTGGGCACAGGATGAGAGCGGCAGCATCAGCTCACAAACCCTCTCCTAAACCAGCTGATCCCTTGCATCCATTTCACACCCAGAGAGCACAGAATATCCCAGGGAATATGGGGGACCTGGAGGATCTCAGTAGCACTGCAAGAAAGTGATGGGCTTGGGTATGCACACAGGTGCTGAGCGGTCCAGGCTCCAGACAGGAAGCAGGGTGAGGGGCCTTGTGTTCCCCACCAACATGGGGAAACACAGGGAAACTGCTGCTTCTGACACAGGGAAAGCAGTTTTGAACATTATCTTGCCAGGACTCCCCAAAATAATAAAACCTTAATTTGCAATTTATTTTGAAGATATGAGGTATAAAGGGGCAGCAGCTGTAATGAATGGACATCACCTATGAAAGGCCCAAACCTTTAAAACTGGAATTTCATTCTCATTTACCTTGAGAATAGTGATAACAATAATTAGCATAATTGGAATAACAGTATCATTAGAATGAATGCTTCGCATGGGGCTCTTTAAGATGCCTGATCCTCTGCAGAGAACCTGCAGCACTCTCAGTGCCCTGAGGTAAGTGATAACACCCTGTTATAGAGGGCTGGTTGCCCATGGGAGCATACAGCTCCATCAGAGCTTTACCCAGGTCCCTGCCATGCCATTCCAGGAGTACATTGGTGCTGGGAGGTGCCTGAGGCCGGGTTGGGGGCACGTACCTGGTGGAGACACACGGTCCCGGTATGTCGGTGTGTAGGGGCTCAGCGTGAGCAGCATCACGTACATGCAAAAGGCAAACATTCCCGCCAGGCACGTGTAGAAAACGAAGTAAAACAGCAAGATCAAGCCTGCGAAAGAGAGAGGGCACGTTGCTGTTAGCGCAACTGGAGCACGTCCCACGGGGAGCTTCCCGCAGGGATGCACAGCCGTGCTCAGCACAGCATGCTCCGCAGCTCCGAGTCCATCATGGAGGTGGGAGCTCACAGTCCTCCTCCGTACACAGACCCCGGCATTTCTGGGTGCCTGACATGCTCCCTGCTCAGCCCAGGGCTGGGGCAGCGGCTGCTTTGCTCTGACCCCTTTTGCCTCATGGCCATTCCCAGAACTGGGTCAGGGCCAGGTCTGCGTGCCCACCTGCCTCAGCTCTCTCTGACAGACAGACCCAGTCTTGGCTCTTGCCCTTCCACCCCCTCTTGGCATGATAACATGTACCCAGCGGCTTCTGCTTGTCTCCTGCCCTGACTCCTGTCACCTGCATGGCAGGGACGCCAGCGCTGGGCATCGCTCAGGGGCTGCGGCACCGCTGGCTCTGTCATAGTCCTGACATCTCAGGAATGGGTTTGTTTTTCCTCTGGACCAGGCTGATGGCTGAGGACGTCTCAAGAGGCCACGGCCTATGAATAAAACCCAGCGGCTCAGAAAGCAAAGTGAAGCCCTAACAGAAACATTTCCCAGGAGAAACGTGCCGGCAGCTCAGAGGAGCCCTGGGAACGCAGATGTGCTCTCCTGCCGTGCTTCTGCCGGGGCCACGGTGCTGGGAACCACTGCGGGGCCGTGTCCTGCTGTGTGCTAAGCTGGGGCAGAGGGAACCATCACTGCTGCTGGTGGCACAGCAGGGACAATGTCCAACCCTGCCACAATGATGCTGGGATGTTGCCTCTACGCCAGCCTGATGGAGCTGGAGCTGCTGCCGGTGCCGAGCCCCTGCTTGTTGGGACATGGTGCTGCTACCATCTCTGTCTTAAGTTTCCTGCAATGCAGCAGGAAGCGTTGTCACCATCAGAGTCGGGGGTGCAGCCTTTCCCAGGGGCTGCAGCTTCCAGTGCTGACCCTGTGGCCAGCCGGCTCCCTGCATTATGGCAGTGCGAGTCCCCGGAGCCCCCTGTCCCTGGGGAACACCTTCATGGCCAGCGCAGGGGAGCAGCCCCAGGCTGGTCCAACTCCCTCCTCCTCACCTGTGAGATGAGAGCAGGAAAGTTCAGCTCCATTCACCTCCAAATGCTCTCATTTTAAAAGAAGATTGGATTTTCACAGTAGCTTCAAGGCCTCTCTCCTGCCCCCCTGCACGGGCATGTGAGCACACACGTGTGTGCAGCCGCGGTATGTGTGTCCATAGGGCAGTGTGGCTGTATAGCACACCGGGATGCTTCCAAGGAGCAGGAGGACCCTGCACCCTCCCCGAGGCTGTAAATAAATAACTTTCAGCAATAGCCAGCTGGGGCCACATCCACTCCTCCTGCAGAGCTTTTCTCGGCACCTGGAAGAGCCAAACCCACGTCCCTAAAGACTCTCACCCGCATACTGCTCCCACACTCCAGTCTGCACCTTCCTGTCCAGCAAAGGAGCAGCAAAACCCAGCTGCCCCCACGGCCAGCAAAGGGCACAGGAGCAGACGTGGATTTCTGCCCCAGGCTCATGCCTGCATGTTTTCAGACTCTGTGATGCTTACGGGTCCTTTGTTTCTCCTGGCTGCCACCACAGGCTTTGCAGGACACCCAGAGCACTCAGCCAGGGCACAGGCAGGCTGTGGGGCTTGCAAGCTCATTGCCAGTGCCAGTCAACAAGGGCTGCAAAGGCTGAGCAGATACGTATGTGCACATGATGCTAAGGGCTAAGATTTTCACTGCTGTGGGGGCTATGTGCTATCAGGAGAATGGAGCTGCAAAAGTGGATGGCCTCAGTGTGCTCTCAGACTGAGCCTGCAGCAGAGCTCACCACGGGCTGCTCTTAATCTCCCCGGGCACCTCCAGGCTCAGTTATAGTTTCTGAAGGCCACACGGATATGGATCAAATAGGGTGCCCAAAACCCTCACGTCATATCCCAGACACCATCCCCAACAGCACACACAGGCCCTGTTGTTGGCACCACGTCATGCCCTGGGAAGCTGTGGGGTGATGGTGACAACCGGCCCTTCCTGCCCCAGAGCACATACAGGCATTGAGGGCTGTGTGGGCTCGCAGTGAGCACCCTCCCCACAGCACCTGCCCTGTGATTCAGGTGCTCTTTCCCCACCAACACTGATGGCCCCAAAGCCACCTCCCCGCAGGTTCCTGACTTACACAGGCAGGAGCCAGGCTGCTGGCAGCAGCAGAGGCGCATGGCTGTGACAGACTGACCTGCAGCCCCTGCGATTGCTCAGCCTCTTAGTTCCTTCCCAGTACATGGTCTGGGCAGCCCGAAATCTTTGCTTTCACATTCTCAGTCAACATTAACATCCAGACCAAGGGTAACTTTCCCAAGTTACCCAAGTTTCCCAAGCTCGTCCTCCTCACTAGTTCTTTATTGCACCTGTTAGAAACATCTACCCTGAAAATGTGGGACAGGGGTGGTCAGTCCAAGCTATCAAGGACTTTCACAGGCAAGTGCATCCATTGTGAAGCAGAAAAGGCAACGATCCCCGAAAGTGTGGTTGAGCAAGGACCTACCCCAGCTCTTGGCCGTTCTCCCCAGGCATGTTTTCTCCTCCGGGTTCCACAGGAATATCTTCATCTCCCCAGCCAGGTCTGCCCAGGTTTTGCTCCCCATGTCTGCCTTGGTCTCGTTCTCTCTTCTGTCAGGAACCCGGACCTCCTCGTCCTGCTTATTTTCCTGAAAGAGTTACAGAACACAACCCCCACATCCAAGCTGAACATCTCATTGGCCAAAAATAAATGCAAAAGCACTTAATAGCTGGAAATGTTTCAAATTTCCATTTTCCCATCATCACTCTTGAGTTAAAGAGAGGCAGATTTGGCTGTTGTAACTTAAGATCGCTTAGATCCCAGCATCCATTTTTCCATGACACGTACGTCACTGCCGTCACACCGGGCACTGTCTCCTTGTCCTGGCATTTACAGAAACTCATCTTTTTCCACCTGTGTGAACATGACCAAAGAAAACCTGTGATCTGGGGTTGTTCCCACGCTTCTGCAACATCTCTGAGCTCAAGTGCACGTCTTCCGTGCTACCACAGATGACAGCGGGCGACATTATTTGAGGTCACCCAGCTTGTTTTTCTTGGCGTGTGAGCAAGCGTTCAGCCTTTGGAGAAATCCCTGTGTTGTTACTCTTTAATTGCACTACGTTCCATGGAAAAGCATCTCCCCAGGTGCTGAGAATTTGCATTTTGCCTCAGTGGTGAAAACTCATTTGTACAGAGCTCATGAACACAAATCTCTCTGTACCTGGGCCTGGCTAAGGGTCCCGTGAGACAGGACATGGCAGATGTCCCTAACCACCCCTGAACCTGGGCAGGCTCTGTGTCTTCAAAAGCAGGCAGTGAGTTGGGAGACGGTGCAGACCTCGCTTTGGGCTCAGGGCAGGGCTGGGGGCAAGGGGTGATGCTGAGGTCGGGGTGAGTTCATCACCTCCCTGTGCCACAGGGCTCAGCCTCTCCTGGCTGGATCAGAGCCACCCTCGCCCACCCTGGCCACATTTCCCCGAGGGCACTGTGCCTGCTGTGAGCCCCACGGGAGCTGCACTTGGCACCATCATCCCATGTCTGCACTAAGGGCCATGGAAACCTGCCAGCCATAGGCACCTGTTGGACCCAGGGCTGACAAGCAGGATATTCACACCCCAGGGGAGGCCAGGGGAGCCGGGAAGCGGCCAATGGCTTAGCAGAAAGTCTGGCTTGGAAACACCCTCAATTCAGGGGGATTAAACTCTGCTGAGACACACAAACACTGTGAAACAGTGAGAATGGGGGGAAAGGACAGACTCCAAAGCCCGAATTCATGCCTTGGAGGGCCAGGTCAGACCCAGGGGGGCTGTAAACCATCGCCATCATCCCACTGATTGCCCCCATCGGCCCTGGTTAAAGCCCCCATGGGGCTCTGCTGGGAGCACGCCTGCGTCAGAGCTCTGCTGCTGCTGCCCGAACAGCAAAGGCAATGCCTGGCCCAGGTCCCACTCCCCGGGCTGGAGCCTGTCCTGAGCCAGCTCCTGCATGGCCACAGCCCTGCTCCATGCACAGCTGATGAAACCGGGGCATTTTGGAGTGGGGAAGCAGCAGCCCCAGCAGAAGTGGCCAGCAGGGAATGGGAGAGAAGTGCAGAAGCTGCCGGCTGCCAGGACACCCGCAAATGAGCAAGTGATGGAAGAGGAGCAGGAGGGGTTCTCCTTCCTCCCACTAAACTAAAGAGCTATGGGTAGCTGTTCTGGAAGCATTTTCTCAGACTCTCAGGGTAGCAGGGGCTCCTCAGAGGGACTCTGCACCGATGCTTAGTGCTGCTTTAGGAAAAGACCTTTGAATTTCACACCAGCTGCAGCTCAGAGGCAGTGAGAGCAGTGCATGGGCTGCATGCAGAGCCCTGGCCCAGAAGCTGCTACCAATGCTTAGAACTGTTGCGGGGACATAGAGACAGCCACCCATGGGCTTTCACCCTGGGAACTCCACAGCTCTGCTCTGTGGAGGCCTTTTCCAAGGAGGAAAGTTTCTATGTCTCACCCAGCACTTAGTGAAGAGTCCCATCCTGGTAAATGGGAGAGACCACAGGGGCTCCAAGGGGCATGGGAAGGCTGAGGAGGTCCCAACCTCTTCCCACAGGGAGGGAAGTCTGTGTGGAGCAGGTGAAAAGATGGGATGAGCCCACTGCCAAGTCCCTGGCAGAGGTCCCTGTGCTGGGGAGCTAGGTTAGGTCTGGACTGCAACACCTCCAAGGTGTTTCACCTCTGCAGCCCAAGACCAGAGGTGGTCTTGGAGCAGTCCCTTGCACTTGGAGAAGGGACAGGAAGAGCATCAGGGGCTGGGGCAGGAGCGTGCTGGGGCAGAAAGGGGGCACAGCCACAGTGGAACCTCTCAGGACACTGTGCAGCCCCAGGCTGCTGCCTGCCCTGCATCTGGGGTGACCCTGGGTGGCAAAGCAAAGCTGGGGTTCATCCCTGTAGGGATCATGCTGTGCTGATGGTTAAGGGTGTCTTGGGGGTGCCAGGGGATTTCCCTGGACCAGGTCAGATCTCAACAGGAGGTTGCTCTTGCTGAAAGCCAGGTCTGCAGAGGCTGGCCCATGGCAGATGTCCACAACCCTCCTAGACCCCCTCACTGCCCAGGACCACCAGCCAGCCCTTTCCCCCCTCAGTACAAAGTGCTTACATTTTGCCTAAGGGATGAAGCAGCGTTCCCTAGAGCAAAGTAGCTATATTTATCATTCACAAAGCAGGCCATTGACAGCAGCCCCCACCTCGCCTCTCAAAGGGTGGCCAGCAGCCCCCAAAAGACTCACCACCTGCCGGTGGGGGCTCCTGTGCTGGCCCTCCGTGGCCCCAGCGCTGCTGTTCCTGTCCATCCCTGGGTGGGAAACACAGAGAAACGTGAGCGTTAGCACCGCCGGAGCGCAGGGCTGAGCCCAGCAGCACCAGCCCCATCATGGGTGCCGTGTTGCCCCGGCTCGCGGGGACCTGCAGGCACAGCCCCCTCCCAGCACAACTCCCCAGCCCCGCAGCTCCCCCCCAAAAGGCTGAGTGAGCGCGGCTGCACCAAGACCTTTGGCTGTCTGCAGGGAACTACACTGCTTTCCCTCCCTACGCTGCAGGACTTTGGCGTGAGGGAGCAGATCAAAAAATAACTTCCTTTCCTAAGCGGGGGGAGCTCAACGCAACAGGATCCTGCCCCGAGCCCCCTGGCATCTGGTGCCCTTTGCAGCACCCTCACAGCATCCTGACCTGTGCCAGCCAGCGCCCTACATAGGGAAGGAAGCGGGGTTCTCTGCCCCAGGGAGACCGTGTAGCTGTTAATAAACATTAGGAAATCTCTAGGGCTTTTGATGGCCACATGTGTCTGTCAATATGTGCTTGTCAGTCACGGCGGGGCTGTGGTTAATGCTTGCAAGATCGCTTTTGCAGTGAAGGAGCAGTGCGAGGGGACAGGTCTATATTTATCCCTTTGGATTTAGAGGTAGGAGCACAGTATCGGCTTCCCTGACCCGGCTGTAAGCGCCAGTCACAGCTACCAAGACAAAATCCAGAGGGACACCTTGCTGGGACACCCTGCAGACAGGGTATCAGGTTTTCCCACATCAATGAATTACAGGCACAGGATGGTCATTAGGAGTACAGGGGTGTATGCTGAGTCCTGCCCCTGTCAGGGGCTGGCACGGTAGGAGTGCTGGGGAGAGGAGGGAATGGGGCACTGGTGTCGGGCCAGCCGTGCTAAAACACAGCGGTGCGATGGCAGTGTGCAAGGACTGCCTGTCCCTGGCTGTGCCCCATGCAGCTCTCGAGGAACAGTGGGGCTTGTTTTACACCGTCTGTCCCAGCAGCACCAGCCACCAGCTCATTCCCTCGGCACGTTTCCAATGGGGCCAGCAGCCCTTCCCTTCACAGGAGAGCCAGGCCCTATTAATGAAGGGAAAAGGCTGCCTTGCCCCTTGCTGGGGCTTTGCCCAGCGGCAAGGGGACGTCTGTTTCCGGCTCCTGCGGGGCAGCACCGGGCTGTCCAAGCCAGCAAAGCACCATTCTCCTTTTCCTCTCCTGGGCATGGCTGAAAGCCGCTCGCCGGCTGTGCTAATAAATGGGCGCCGCGGGAAGGAAAGAGGTCTGGCAGCAGCCCCGGTCTGCGCCGAGTTGGCCGGGGCTGCCGCACGCCTGCGGCTGGGCATGCAGGCAGGGCTGGCTCGGCACCGGTGCCTACCGGCAGCCAGGCCCGCGGCAGGACGGGGGCAGGCAGCCGTGCTCACAGCCGTGCTCACAGCCAGGGTGGGGCACCAGGGATGGAGACCTGCTGCCCAAAACTCGGGAGCTGGGATGGGGCACAGGGATTGAACATGGCCTGGGCCATCGCGGGGCAGCAGCAGCTCCCCAGGAGCACACGCACCCCATGGCAGTGGTTGTGCTGCCGCGCAGCCTGGCCCTGACACAGCGGAGAAGGGAGCTGAGACCCGTCCCCTCCGTCACTGACATGGAGTGGGGGTGACCGAGCAGGAGGGGACTAGTGCCAGCCCCACACAGGCAGTGGTTGCAGGGCTCCTCTAGTTCATCCGAGGTAAATAACCACTGTTTTCTCTGGAGGTGACGTGTTCTTTGCCATTAATTGATCTGGGCATTTGTAACTTGCCTCTTGTGCTACTGTCAGTGCACACTTTCTTTTCTCCTGGGAGCAGCTGGCAATCAGCCTCCTATCCAATAAAAGTGTGGGTTTTTTTAAAGCAGAGATAGGATTCATTTCTTTTAACTTGATGAAATATACTTTGGCTTGAAATAATTACATGATTTGCACTTAGCACCTCTCAGCCCAGGGCTGACTTACAAGCAATTATGAAGCCTGCTGAGAAGATGTTTTTATGCCCATTTTATAGATACGATATGGAAAACAGAGGCTGAGGGCCTGCCCTGGCCAGGGATGCAGGGATCCTGCAGGTGCCCTGGAAGTTCTGCTGCCATGGGACCGGGCACAGTCAGCAACAGGCGCCACCACCAGAGCAGGGATCACAGAGCGGTGTCGGTGGCTACCTGGGACTGCCACCAGCACCGTAGGGATGAGGAGGGACCCGGGAAGGATGGGGGACAGAGAGGTGCCAGGGAGGTGTTTGGGGAAGGACAGCGGCCTGAAGCGGCGGGGCTGGAGAGGGCCTGGGAGCTGCTGGGGTGCAAACAAGAAAGATGGGGAGAGGGCGGTGAGGGCCCCGGCCGGGCTGCGGAAAGGGTCCGTGGTCGGGAACCTCCTGGGATGGGGCAGGACCTCTACCCCTCTCCCAGAAAACACCCTCTGGGGCGCATCTCTCCGCTGCTTTCCAGAGGAACGGGACGGGCGCGCAGTGCTTTGGGAGGAAGGGCACGGAGCCAGGGTCCTTCCCGGTTATACACGAACCCGCCGCCGGGCGGTACGTACGGTACATACAGCGCGGTACCGTACACACAGTGCGGTACGGTACGGTAGGGTAGGGTACGGGGCGGGGCGGGGCGGTTCGGCCCCGCAGCTCTCTCCGCTCCCACCCCAGCGCGCAGGCGCGGCGGAGCCGGTGCCGGGGCTCTGTCCGCCGCCGTGGCCCGTTGGGCTGCGGCGGGGAGCAGCGGTGGCGGCAGCATGCGGCAGTCCCTGACTCAGCAGCGCCCGGGCGGCGTTGCCCTGCCCGACTCTGTGGGTAAGTGCCGCGGGAGGCGGCGGCGGGAGGTCCCGCCGGGCCGGGAGGATGCTCCGCGCTGCGGGGCGGTGCGCGGGGGCCGGGGGCGCTGCGGCCATTTTGGGCGGTGGGTCCCCGCGGTCGCCGCCGTCGCATCAGACAGACCGGGACCCGACGCGCCCGACCTCGCCGCTGCCGGGCGCTGCCTGCCCCGGTTCCCTCCCCGCCCGACCCCGCCGCTGTTCGGGCGCTATTTCAGCCGCAGGGACACGGTCCGTATCTCCCCCTTCGAGGCCGCACCGGCCGGGTACGGGGCTGCGGCAGAGCTAGACCCCCGAGGGGCGCTGGCTGCCCGGGCTCCCCGCAGCATCCTTTGGAGCGGCTGCTCGCAGCGCTCCTGCACGGCGCTAATTAGGTCAGAGAGCCCCTCGCACCGCTCCGCGCCCGCTGCTAATTGCGGTTTCGCCACCTTCCACCCGCCCAAGCGGGAGATGAAACACTCAGACACCCGCAGCCCCCGCCGTGGTCTGCGGGCAGGGCCCTGCATGGGACCGGAGGGTCGCATCTCGTACACTGTTGTAGCAGAGAAGTGGAACAGGAGGAGGAGAAGGGTTTGGAAGGAGAACAGCTCCGTGCCGGTTGCCCCCGGTTCTCCCAGGGTAAAAGTTAAAGCTGGCTTCCTGGTGCTATTTCGCACTTATTCTTTGCTCCTGGCTTCCCCCCCCAAGAACAAGATGGAGAAGATGTTTCTGTGCCATCTTGTCTATTTTCTTCTGTTAATTAGGAGACAAAAAAAGCAAGTAAATCGGGGGCAGTACAAGGATCTATATTGCAAACTTTTGAGGTAATCTGGAAAAAACTGCTACAATGTCGTTTCTAGATTGAGTTTATATATGGCAACTGTAATGAGAGGGTATTTCTGAGGCTTAAAATAAAAATGATCTTTCTGAAGCCTTTCCACATTCGGAGTGCCATTTTAGCAAAGAGAAATAGCCAGGCTGCAAATAGCATTAGTGTCCTTGCACCTTCCTCACAGAGTTAAGCACAGTGTTTCAAATCAACTGTATGTATGCTGAGGTAAGCATAGCAAGTTTTGAATATCTAACTTGGATAAATCACAGAGAAAAAGCTGCTACTATCTCTTAAAAAGCAGAGATAGCAGAGCTGTCATAGCTCCACTTCTGTGTGTAAATCTGTACCAAGTAGCAAAGAGGAAAATTATTTAATGGGAAATACTTTCAGCAGAAATTAATGTTGAGAGAGGATTTTGCTAGGGCAGCCCATCAGCAGCTCTCACTGGATATGCTGAGTATGAGTCCATCTATGTTGAAGCAGCTGCAGGCATCCCTACAGAAGTACAAAACAATTTTATCAATATACACCTAACAAAATGGGTTTTCAGAGAAGGAAAAAATGGAATTAGTGTCTCAGTACAGAGCTGAAGTGGAGGTAATCGCATTATCTTCTGTTTCCCATCTCTCTCCAGTATTGTGGTAAAGGATCATGGTTGGTTTTGTCAGGACTTGGAATAAAAGCTTTTTTTAAGGAATACTGAAAAGCTTTTGGAAGTTTTCCGGGTGAAAACCTTTTGTTTCACTTCTGTACTGCATGTTGGTGTGTGCCAGTTGTGAGCTGGGAAACAATGTTGACATATAAGAGCGGAAAACATGGTGGTTCTGAAACAAGCTCAGAGTCCGTAAGCAGCATTTCAAGCTGCTTCAACTCTCTTCCTGCAGAATTCAGTTACAAAATACTCTAGGTTTTGAGAAAAAGAAATTTACACATTTTCAAGGTTTTTTCATTGTAACTTTATGAAGCATCCGTGATGAAAATGCAGGTTTGTATGTGTAAACTCCGCACCTGTGTACCCACAATGCTCTCTAAGCCCTGCTCTGCAGGATGGTTTTGCATAGCACACAAACATCTGCACACCCACACAGCCTAACCGTGAAGAGTTTAAGCTGTGTAAGGAACATATGGCTGGATTCATTTATCTTCTGCTCATTTGCCAGCCCAACTGTAGCCGTAACCGGGAGCTGGATACTCTACTATGTAAGCAAGACAGTTTTGTTCTTTCTCTCTTTTCAGAACTACTTCTATGTAAAAAGTAGCAGGTTTTTTTCTCCAGTTTCTAAAGTTTTGTTCAGCTAAACCTTTGTCCCAGGTACTTTGGAATTTTAAGATGTTTAAGTGGCGCTTGCATTTAAATTATTACATTGGAACTGGAGTGTGGCACAAACTGTAGTATTTGGGAGGCAATACATACAGAATGGCCGGATATATTGGTGAATTTTGAAGGCTTTAGAAGGCCAGAGTTTATATTATTAATTATTTAGCATATTTAGGAGAATAAAAAAATTAACCTATTAACCCCAATGCAACCTGCGGCAAACAGTTGGGTACCTGTACCTCCATCCTCTAAAAAATGGCATGAAAAGGTAAGGATCACTAATTAAAGATCCTGTCTGGATCTTAGGGTTCTCTAGAAGTTAGTTAATTTCATTTTGTT